AACTTTTAATTTGCATTTGAAATAGCAAAACTGCATGCTGTTATGCACCAACCAAAACTAGAGGGTCGTGAATAACACATCAAAAAAAGAGGTTGTATACATTAAAATATTTCAGTCTATTGAGATTCACTTGAAAACGATTTCAGTTTTTACATGCACTTACGTGTTCTGAAAAAACGATATCTAGATGAGTACTTTTCAAAATGTTTTCCAAAGCCGTTGGGACAGCTTTTCTTCTTAACTCCGGATAGCTGCTTGCTTTGTGACATTTGTCTGATTTGTAACTGTTTATTAGTTTATTTTTATTGTTTAATTAGAGAATAAATATAGTTGTATAGTGTATACCTATGAACACTATTATGTACTTTGTCACTGTTGAGCTACATTGCAGTATCAAAGCTGCTTTTTTTTTTTCTTTTTTGCCCTTTTAAAAGCAATGCCAATTACAGAGGTCTTTTTTTCAGTGATCAAACTGATCTCTACCTTTCAGCGATTAGGTAATTTAGTCTGCAGATGTGCACAGAAAGGATATAACTGGCATTTGGTACTTAAAAATAACCCAATAACCCAAAATAGCATTGTTCTCTATTAAAAGAAGTCCACTGAAACTCGGGAGTTTGGAAGAGAAATAGCTATAGAGGAGTTTGAAAGTAGTATGGCAAAGAAAAGAGAGGTGAAAGCATGAGATGATGTCCAGATTTCTTGTAACTTAAGGCTTAACTTCAGATTGGTGGGGCCTAAATAACACCATGGTAAGGCAGATGCAGGATCATGTCACCTTTGTGTTAGAAATTGTTAGGCTTGTCCACAGTCTGGAAGTCTATAAAGTGAGGAAGTAGTAAATAATGAAGTAATTGAAGCTACATGAGGGAGAAGAATCATCCTTTTAAGTTTCCTTTTCCATAGTTTTTACTGCAAGGATTGGTGGTACAGTTCAGGCAGAGTAAATGTTGTAGAAACCTCTGTACATCTGAATCAAAATTTATTTTGCCTTTTATTTAGAGTCATCTTCAATCAGCTTAGAAAAACTATGATCAAATTTGTTGGCAATATTAATTACAATATAAAGTATGTTTATAAATAGAGATTAATATGTATTTTACTTTCAGCACTTAACTTGAAAATGTCTAGGAGTATGTTCGTGCAAATTATTTCAGGCTTTTATCCGACTGACTAAATGAATAGTAGTAAATGACAAAAAAAATGTGAAATGGTTAAGAGTCAGACTACCTGATGGAGAGTAATAATAAACAAGTACGTTCCAGGTGGTTTGGTTCTGAGATATCTCTTTATGAAGGAAAGAGATTGCATGCAGTGAATGAGGGTGGTGATTGAAATAGATAATCTATTAGATAGAAATAGATATCTATTGAAATAGATAATCTTTGTATTTTTTTCACAATATTCATTTTGTATGTAGCTGAAAAGAAGATGTGTTAAATTGTAAGTAATGTGATATAAAACAGAGTGGGTAGGAGGTTCAAGAGAATTGGGTATGGCAGCAAAGAATCCACTAAATACTAATTAGAAATACTAGAGCTGTTACCGAGCAGTTACTAGAGTACTACAGGAAAGCTAAGAGCAGATCAGACACTTTTTTTTCCCCTCTATAATAACCTTTTTATGTTGTTATGAAAATGCTTCTGCAGCTGCATGTGTGCAGTGCTGCATTGGGCTGTTAGTTCTGAAATGGCCAATCTGGAGACCAAGAGCCCCAGAGCTGTGTGGGTGTTGGAGCCATGCAGAGTTCCCAATTTGACCACTGCAGAAATTGCTGGATATTAGTGCCCCTTTGCTGCAACCTCTATGTGTTGTGGCAACAAGTTTTTTGGAAAAAGCTCTGCTATTTGAGGATAGCACTTAGTGGCTTTTTACTTGCTGTCCCTGACTCTTCCTTTGTAGTCTTTGGAAAGAGACTATATGTGAAGATACTCCTAAGCATTTACATCCTGGAAGAAAATAAAATATGAGGAAATGTGCATTTTGAGGAAATAATGGACGAGGCCCATCTGACCGCTTTGTACTTCCTGTGCTGCATGTGTTGGAAGGATGGATTTTGGTTTTGTTTGTATGTACATGTGCATGTACGTGAAGGGGTGGGTGCAGGTAAATGAAGGTAGGCACTCACACACAGTTATCAGTATTTTGTTATCTTACTGTTCTTCAGGAAGATTAAACCTTTATTTTGAATGGCTTTTGTTTGAATCGTCATTGGTAGCCAGCATATTTCATGAAGTGCAATCTGTATTCTCGTATAATCTCTCTTCAGCTGGGACTTGTAGAGTCTGACTCAGAGTGAATTTCCAGATACAATAACTTTAGAGCTTGTTTAGTTCAGTCTGCTATAGTCTTCCTGTTAAAAAATGTGACACAATCTATGATCTAATCACGATATGTCAATTGCTAGTGTGCTACCAGTTCAGCCATGACATTTCTTACTTGCTTTCTCTCATAAGATTGTGGCCATTTACTTTTGTACCCACCTGTGAAGTTGCACTAAAATGAAATCTCTGTCAAGTGTGATTGAATGTGCAGAGACAGAACTGTCCAAAATAAAAAAGGACAAAACACTTATTTTTCTCCTTTAATTATCTTTTCTCTTTTCTGAAAGAAAAGGTGTTTCTCAGTGCAATCGGTTAGTGATGGTACAGCAAATGCAGTTTTTCATCCAATTTTCAAGTGTGTCTGCAAGTAACATCACTGCTAACTGTGGTATCCAGCATCTCTGCAAAACAGCATCAGCTGTTAAAGAAGGGGCCATACGTAGCGTTTTACCTCAATAAACTGACACATGCACAATGAAATATGCTCTGCCTTGACGGAGTGAATATTCTGTTTTGGGAGGCATTTGTAATCTTTAGATTACAAAATACTGATATAATTTATATAAAACTGAACAATTAAAGGTGCTTCAGATAAGAATTTTTTTTGGAAGTAACAATTTTTGTCCATAGTTCCTTCCTAGCATGTACGCAGTGAGGTGAATAGTCATCTTCATTTAAAAACATTTGAAATGCCAGTTTTGAGGAACATATCGGACTCTGTAATACGAGTCTGCCCCAAGTCTCTTCAGGGACTTTTAATTGTGGAATAATAACTGATATATTGGCAAAGACATTCACAAAGAAATCTTCTTTGCTTGTATTTGTGAACATTTATGATTTTCCTAATTTTTAAGGCATGATTAAATTGCATAGGAAATAAGTAGTCCATGTCAATGCTTACTAAGCACAGGGCATAAGATACAGTAAGTATTGACTGTTCAGCATTTTAAGCTGAAATGTTAATGATCACATACTGTGTCAAGTCTGGACATTTTTGGATCCAGTATCTTCTTTACTATTATTACTCCTTTTTGGACATAATGTGTTGGGATGCCCAAAATCACCTGAAGCCCAGACCTACAGCACGTGCAGGTAGGGGATGTTGGTATACTCTAAGTTGGAGAGGAAAGGGAGCATTAAATTTTTAGCTGTTGTGAGTAAAAATAAGGAAATTATCCCCAACATTTATCATGTCTGTCTGTGACATTGGGTGAAATTCCATCATGATGCATTTCAGTGAATTTCTCCATGATAAATGAATCTTAGGAAAGGCAAAGCTAAGGAGAAATTTAGGATCTTGGGTAACAGCTGAAGGGAATTAAAATATTTCTCTTTTTTGAGAGAGCAAGCAATGTAATAGGGGATTATGAAGATATCGCTTGAGGGGGGTGTGTGGAGGTGTAGAGGAGCTGGGAATGGAGGAGTGAAGTTGAGCCCAAGAAGAAAAGAGAGAGGGGAGATGTTTTCTTTTTTGTCTGTTTCTCACCAGCGAGCAGTATTTTAATTAGCAATAAATTAAATTAGTCTTCCCCAGGTGTTTTGCCCATTACAGTAACTGATGAGTGATCTCCCTGTCTTATCCCAACCCATGTGCTTGTCATCTTTCTTCCTCCCCTTCCTGTTGAGGGTGTGAGGGAGAGAGGGGCTTGGTGGGTGTCTGGTAGCCAGCCAAGGTCAACCCACCACAGCAAGAAGTTGAGATTAACCTCCTCTGGAAAAGGAGGATATCTTCTAGACCAGGTGGTGGCAAAATCGTGGGAAGTGATTGTTGGTGGTTTTGTGTTGTGTGTTTGTTGGTTTGGGTTTTTTTTTGGGGGGGGGGTTGTTTGGTTGATTGGTGGTGGGGGTGTGCTTTTTTTTTTTAAAATCCAGGTGTGTTTGCATACATTTGTAGTTTTTAGTTTGGTATTTGTGTAACCTGTTGTCTCAGAGACTTTAGGTTTGGAGTCTTAATTTATAAATTCAACTGCTTTCCATTACTTTTGATGTGATTTGTGTATTGAAGTGATCCAGACTGCTTTAGGTATTTAATTTAGGTATTTAAATATGTGCTTTTTTTTTTTAAAATCCAGGTGTGTTTGCATACATTTGTAGTTTTTAGTTTGGTATTTGTGTAACCTGTTGTCTCAGAGACTTTAGGTTTGGAGTCTTAATTTATAAATTCAACTGCTTTCCATTACTTTTGATGTGATTTGTGTATTGAAGTGATCCAGACTGCTTTAGGTATTTAATTTAGGTATTTAAATATTTGAAGAATTATGGCTTAAATTGCAGTAACTGAGTTTCAATTACTTGTAATTGAAGTCCATTATAGTGCAAACTTGGCTTCATCCCTCCTAACAGCAAGATACAAGTTTAAGCTAGACTTACAGTCTTGATAGGGGGAAAAAAAACCAAACATGTTGCTGCTGAAAAATTTTGCAACTTTTTCATTCACCATCAATGTAAAGCTATTTCAGTTTTAATTATCCTGATTATCTAATAATGCTAATGTGTACAAATAGTATGGTAAGTTATGTTCCCTCTAAGATTTCTGAAGATACCCGAAGTATTGGGTGCCAGTCTTTGTTCCCTCCCCCCCGTTGGATGTAAATACAATATGTATGAAAACAAGGTTATTTTTGTTCCTAGTTTTCCTCGGTATTTAGACATCCATGTTCATTTTATCTAATGCAGGAGGCGCTAAAAGAAAACAACAAAAGAAGAGAACTGGAGGAGAAAACAAAGAGAGCCAAATTGGCTAAAGAGAAGGCTGAACGAGAGAAACTGGAGCGACAGGCAAAGAAGCAGAAGTTGATTGATATGAACAAAGGTAAGGCACCATTTTTAGTAGAGAGATTTGTTAAAAGAAAAAGAAAGTAAGGAGTAACAAACAAAAGGCTATTCCTGATCAATATGGAAACCACTTCCTGTCTGTTTTGAAAGCTGGAAAAAAGGTGAACTTTTTCATTGAAAATTCTGTTTTCTTTTAGCCTACCTGATCGTGTAATTCCATATCTACCACTTAATGTGTGCAATGTTCCTTTCCAGGCATTTTGTTGTGAATTATTGGCTTTTTTTATTTGTAGCAGTTAATTGATTTTTATTCATAGGGATTTACTTGCAAGAAGAAGTCTCTTTCTTGCTTTGTTGTTAATTTCATTCTGTAAACACCTCTATAATCAAAGTAGTGTGGCAATTAACATCTTTCTTTTTGGGCTTGGAGGCTCTATGTTATAATAGATATTCTCCCAACGGTCCTATTAGGAGATGGAAAATCTGGTTGAGCTTGGAGCCTGAGTACAGAGTGATATTTCGGCATAAAAAGCCATGTGTTGAGCTTGTCAGCTGTGAGAATATTCTGTTTTGCATGAGGTTATCCTAAGAGAGAGGAAAGTAAGAAAGCAGGAGGAATCAAGTGGCCCTGATATTGATGCTGTGCAGATTTCCAGAAGGTGATAAAATATAGCCTTTATTCTTTACCTCTTTGTACCCGAAACGTAAGTACAGGTGGTAAAACTGTACATTAGATTGTGCAAGAGGTTACTTGAGACTGTAATTTTTTGTTCAGTTTTCAGGAGTTTTTGTTCATCTGCTAATCTGACCCAGCTATAAAACACTTGTCCTTTTTATCCACTGAACAGTCTAACAAGTACATACTCATGGAGAAATGCTGTTTGTTTTTTGGTTACAATGGACTTTTTGGGAGATGTGGTGATATATTAACTTTGTGTAAGGATGATATTGCAGTAAACCATGTAATTGTGGAATACTAACCTAGTGCTACGCTGGAGATTGATTGAATGGAGGTGAGTTTAGGAATAACACTGCCTTTCAAGGGCATACATACAGCATCTGTAAAGTCAATTTATACACGGGTGAAAAAATACTGGACTCGGCAAACTGACCCACTCTGATATTTAAGAGAATGACTGTGGGGGTGAACACAGAGCCATGAAAAGACGTGGTACTGGTCAGGGTTTCCGTCACTGATAACGTGGTAGTGCAGAAATATTGTCCCGTGATACTCACGATACTGTTTGGTGCCCAGTGTATTTAGAATGCCAGTATTTCTGGCATATCACTAAATTTCCCATCACTCCTGAAAAATCTATGACTTGCGTGTGGACAGCCAGCCCTGAAGGAACATTAGCCAGCCAACCTCCCCTTCCTGTTTGGCAACCATATTTTTCTAGAATTTAGTTACACTTATATCAATATATCTTATAAATATATTATCTATTTAAGCATTACTTTGTCAGACTGAATCATATTTACAATGATTTCAGCAGGTTGTGCTGGTTTATCTTTATTGATATATCCATACAAGCGGCACAACTGTGTGCTTTTTTTCTGCTCAGAAATTCCACAGTTGAAATTTGGTAAAAATAGGCAACCCGTGTATAAATCTGCAAAAACAAAGAAGTAGACAAAGTGAGAACAAGTTTTATTTACAATTGAAAAATCTTTCTGTGATCACTTTATATGTATTATTATATTTTAGGAATTCATAAATTGAGTTTGCTATTGTGTTTGCTCATTGTGATAAATTGTTTTTCCCAATACTTCATTCTTTGCATTCAGAGTTTTAAAATGAATTTATATTCATGTACTGTAATTTGAATACCACGGTTGAAGACAAGTTATTTATGTGGGAATCCTTTAAAAATTCTCCTGTAATTGTGTACATCACTTTATCGCAAAGCCTCCAAGTTTTGCTCTTTATTTGATTCGTTTCTGTTGCTTTTAAAGTGACTTCTCTAGGGCTGGTTGGGAGGGTTCCTGCAGTGGTGTCACAAATCCTGTTATTTCTAGCCTTGCTTGCAGTGGCAGTGACGCTGCATGGAACGTACTGTAGCAGAAGTTTCAGTGGACAAGATCTTTGAATTTACAAACTTAAATTTCATACAATACAAAGATTTTTCTAATAATTTCAGTTTAAGTATGAACAAAATATAAAATTTAAATACAGGTGATGCATAAGTACATTTCCTATAGTTTGTGAAGTTAAGCTCATGGAGATGTCTAATGAGACTTTTCTAATCCATTCTTTCAACATTTGACTGATCTTTCTTTAATATCTGTCACCTGATTAAAAAAAATGTCCTTTGTGATAGGGACAGGCACTTTACTGTGAGTAGGGTAAAAAACACCTAAAAATCCCATCATCACCCTCCTCTCTACTGGTGTGCTTGAAGACACACCCAGAGAGGTTAGTTTAAACTACCACTGAAGACAATGTAAGTTAATGTGTTTTATTAGCTGTGGAAAAGTAGATCACTTACTGTTATCAGTGAATTGGTCTGTGTTTAAAGACTGTAGCTAACAGATCAGTTACATCTTCCTGAAGTGCTTCAGCTCCATCAGTGAGAGCATGCCTTTCTACATTTGTTTATTTTTTAATCAGATGAGGAGTAGACCATGTTTAGTAATAGCATAGGTGCCTCAGTATACTTGCAGCTTTTTGCTTTTTGTCATGAAAGACTTTTCCTATCAACAGATACAACTAAAGTTTAATTTTGCATTACATTTCTTTTTTACTGAAATATATGAATAACTGTACATGGCCAAATGCACCGAAACTGCCACTTAAGTAGCTATTGTTTCTAAATCAGTGACACGAAGTTAGCTTAATACTTCTAAAATATTTTTTCAAATTTTTAAGTGTCTTGAAATATCCATTTTGCATGTTACAACTCTGTTGCCATGATAGGAAGCAGGGGAATAGCTCCATCCCCACTGGTTTCCACAACGTTGATATACAATTAACTATTTTTGCCAAGTAACTTTTTTCTTGATACATCTACTCCTGTGTGCTCATTACTGCTTATATATAGTTTGTAAATTTGTCTAAGTGAATGTGACACAGAAGACTGAGAGGAAGGAGGCAGATGTCCTCTCAAGCTGTCATTTTGACAAGGTGATTTTCACCTAAAGGGTGTTTTAACCTAACTCTCGTAGTTATTTCTCTAGCTTATATCTTCAAGAATAAAATGTTATGCATTGCTGCAGCCTTTCAGGTCAGAGCAATAGGATTCCTACATTTTTCAGCCTTTTAGTGTGTAGTTCTATAATATGTATTTTTTTGCTGTTACCTGGTTACGCAGTTACAGCTTTTTTTGTGGCCACTGGAGAATCCAGGTTAGAATTATTTAGAATTAATTAAATATTCAAAATAATACCTGTTTCGTGGTGTGACTGAGAGAGCAGAAAACTGCAGTGTGGCCAGAATCAAGACCTGTCCTGTAAAATACCTAATTATGAACTAATCTTGGAGTTGCCAATATTTTAAAGACCAGGTTACTCAGTTTGGTGTTTTATGCTTTGTGTAACTGAGATGCCACAGAAATACTATGTGTAAACTGAGAAAAATCCTGTTCTATATTCCAAAACGTGTAGAGTAAAGATGAATGTAAAAAAATATAGAAAAGCTCTCCACTCCATATTAACTTTGAAGTGATTTACACTGGAAGGCATCGTACAAACTGAAGTAATTCTAAATCTTAAAACACATCCATGTTTCAAAGTACAAGTTCTTTTGTGCAAAACTGAAAGCAGGCTGATACGTGACAAAATCAGCTTGCTCCTTCTAAAACAAAAAATTACAGTAGGAACTTATCCGACGTGTACACTTCTCCTTGCCTCAAGATGATGTCATGATATCCATGTGTATTATTTTTTGTAAATAAGCACAGTAATACGTTCAGAAAGGCTAAGCGGTTCTCCGTTGAACAAAACCAAATACTAAGTGAGGATAAGATATTTTAAGCCTGTGGCTTATCTTGAAGTCAGTTCTATTTGCAAGTTTTCTTCATTTGTAGTCAATGGATTTGGTGTTATTTGGGATAAAATTGTTGATACAAATGAGAAGTTTTGGACAGAAAAGGCTGTGTAATAGCTTGAGTCAAAGGCAACTTTTGTGACTCCCTATAAAAACAGCATGATGCATAAGGCATTATGTAGTGCTCAACCTATGAAACACCTCAACATTTCTGAGATATTTTGAAAAGTTAACACCATTTTTTCCTATCTATGACATGCTCAGGCAGTTTTGAGAAAGATGTGAACAATCATATAGAAGTGATTGTTTAAAGACTGAATAAAAATTGCAATTAAAAAAAATAAAATTTGTAGAATTGGTTGAATTTGGCTGAGAAGTAAATTTTGATATTGTCATGGAATTCAACACTTACTTGTGTTAATGTTTTTCGGATTAAATTCTAAACTATTCTTAGTGAAAAAGTGTATTTCATATAACGTTGATTTAAAACTAAACCTTAAAACTATTTATAGTGACACTTGTTTAATATTAAAGCCTGTATTTAAAAAATTCTTCTATTGATATGTATTTCTCAATATGTAGTGCCCGAACTATTCTCACTGTGATCTGAGGTGTAGTTGATCTGTGACACAGTCAAAACCAGAGCAAGACATTCCAGCAACTGTTGTACTCGTGTTACTTCCAAACAATACTACTGTGGATGGTCAGCTCCACCTCCTCAGTTGTAGGGCTTGGGAATATTTGGTCTTTTTTGGCATTCTTTTCACTCTGTTATTATTTATACATCTATTTGTTATATTTCCTGGACTAGTAAGGTGCTTCTGTATGCCTGTTTGCTGAAGCATGAAGGCATAGAAAGATGTGGGTGATTCACCAACACACCTAGAGATCTTTAATTTCACCTTCTTAAGTCATGAACCATTCTTTCTCGTTATGGGAGAGGAATTTTGTAGGAAAGGGGCTTAACATTCTCTTCTTTAGCCTTCACTGGCTTTATAGAGAACATTCTTTATAGGTGTTTTTCAGCAGTGTTTCCTATTTTTTGAGGGCTG